CAACTTGTTCAGCCATTCCCCAATTGATGGGCATCCTCTCAATTTCCAATTCACGGCCACCACAAAAAAAGCTGCTAGAAATATTTCTGTATATGTGGGTCACTTTCCCTTTTTTATGATCTCTTTGGGAAACAGACCTAGAAATGGCATTTCTGGGCCAAACGGTATACACAGTTTTATAGCCCTTTGGGCATAGTTCCAAATTGCTCTCCAGAATCAGTTCACATCTCCACCAACAGCACATTAGCGTTCCAATTTTCCCATATCATCTCCAACATTTATCATTTTCCTTTTCTGTCATATTAGCCAATCTGATAGGTGTGAGGTGGTATCTCAGAGTTGTTTTAATTGCATTTCTCTAATCAACAGTGATTTAGAATATTTTTATGACTATAGATGGCTTTAATTTCTTCATCTGAGAACTGCCTGATCATATCCTTTGACCATTTATCAATTAATGACTTGTATTCTTACAAATTGAACTCAGTTCTCTATATATTTTAGAAAGGAGGCCTTTATCAGAAACACTGGCTGTAAAAATTGTTTCCCAGCTTTCTGCTTTCCTTCTAATCTTGGTTGCATTGGTTTTGTTTGTGCAAAACTTTTTAATTTAATGTAATCAAAATTAACTATTTTGTATTTCATAATGTTCTCTATCTCGTTTGGTCATAAATTTTTCCTTTCTCCATAGATCTGACAGGTAAACCATTCCTTGCTCCCCTAATTTGCTTATGGTATCATTCTTTACATCTAAATCATGTACTCATTTCAACCTTATCTTGGTATAGGGTGTGAGATGTTGGTCTATGCCTAGTTTCTACCATACCATTTTCTAGTTTTCCCAGCAGTTTTTGTAAATAGTGAGTTCTTATCCCACAAGTCAGACTCTTTGGGTTTATCAAACAGTAGATTACTATAGCCATTTACTACTGTGTCATGTGTACCTAACCTATTCTGCTAATCCACCAGTCTGTTTCTTAGCCAGTACCAAGTAGTTCTGACGATTGCCACTTTATAATATAGTTTTAGATCTGGTGTGGCTAGACCACCTTTGTTTGCATTTTTTTCATTAGTTCCCTTTATATTCATTTTGTTCTTCCAGATGAATTTTGTTATTATTTTTTCTAGCTCTATAAAATAATTTTTGGTAGCTTAATTGGTATGGCACTAAATAAATTAATTAATTTAGGTAGAATTGCCATTTTTACTATATTAGCTTGGTCTCCCCATGAGCAATTCTGGCTATTCAGGGACAGAATCCAGGAAATTGGGTTACTGGGTTCATAGGCTTGAGAGCTGGAAAGTAGCTCTAGTCCAGGTCTTTCATTATAAGAATGAAAAACCTCTGGAATAGAGAGAAGTGATCTGCCAAAAGTCACAAAGGGAACAGAGCTGGGACTTGAACCCAGACCCCTGCCTCCCAATCCTGGGCACTTTCTGCTGTATAACACTGCTCTTTGCTAGAACTCTGCTATATCACCTTGACCTAACTATTTGGGCTTACTAGCCACAGACACAAGGACACACAGGCACATAGGGACAGACAGGTATTTTTGTTTTGTTTTGTTTTGTTTTCAGTTTTATTAAAGCATTTAAGCTTTATGCTATGGCTAATAAACTGTAGGGATCAGTGTCAACCCTTAATATATGTCAGCACAGCTTGCCACACACAAGGTCGTTTTGCCACTGATTCATGGAGAATGTCGGTACTTGGGTGCAAAGATTCAAACTCTGGTAAACTGCAATGCCAGCTTTTCCCCTATTGCGGTAGTACTGAGAAAGTTTGGGTTAAGGGTTAACTCCTTAGGCCCCAGAGAGACCTCCCTGAAAAGCCAATTCTAATTACTTCATTGTCTGTGAAATGTACCTATTTATTTTCTTGTTACTTTACATTTCCCAGTCTCTTTACATTTCCCAGTCTCTTAAGTTTTGTGAAAAAGGGGGAAATATTGTTTTGTATGACCAAGAGGAATCTTCACCAAAGGAGCTGATACCCCAAGTCACTTGGCATATACCCACAATAAAGTAGCACCTGAAGAGTCTATGCATTTGGGTTAGAGTAGGGAACAGGGTAGAATGACCATAACCCTTCCCTGCCTCTCTACTGAAGGTGGTTTACCTGATAAATACAAAACAAAGAAATCTGACACAAAGTAAAACATTGCTATATAATATCCCCTTGGAAGCCTCTCCTTTTCCAAACCTGTTTACACAGACAGGTATTTGTAATACACTTCTTGTGAAGACTGAAGCATGTACCAGTCCTGGCTTATTCAAAAGCCCAAGGAGGAGGGAAGAATTGGACCACTTGTAGAGGATGGTAGAATTAGTGCCTTTCCCCATCTTCTCTCTCTCTCAAGTCCAATTTGGGCTGTCAAGTGACTAGGGACAGAACAGGAAGCATCTCTTCATTCTAAGACCTAGCTAGGACTAATTTGGGACTGGAGGAGAAAGACCCGAAGCTCCAGAGGCTGCAGAACAGAACAGAGAGCAGAAGACATAAAAATATCAGAGTGTAATCTCAAAGAAAAACTGGGGAGTCGGAAGACCTGGGTTTAAGTTCTGGTTTTGCTACTTACTAGATATGTGAACCTGAGGAATTTATTTTACATCCTCCCAGCCTCCGTTTACTCCCACGTAAAAGAATGATCACGATATTGACACCACTACCTCACAGGGTCGCTATGAGAGACTGATGAAATAAAATTTTGTCAGACATGGTAGAGTACCAAAGCCACTGGACTGAAAGTGCCTGCTTATATACTGGTTGACCTTGGACAAGTCCCTCCATCTCTCTTTAAAGTCCACCAGCTAGGTGGCATAGCAGGTAGAGTGCCAAGCCTGAAGTCAGAACGACTCATCTTCCTGAATTAAAATCTGGCCTCAGACACTTACTAGCAGTGTGTCCTTCGGCAAGTCACTTAACTCTGCTTCAGTTTCCTCATCGGTAAAATGAGCTAGAGAAGGAAATGGCAAACCACTCCAGTATCTTTGCCAAGAAAATCCCAAACAGGGTCATGAAGAGTTAGACATAACTGAAAACGACTGAACAATAGGAAGTAAAAAATGTGCTGGATTCGGAGTCGGTGAACCTGGGGGCTGGGGAGCATGTATTTCATGGCCAAGACCCTCAGTCTACAGATTCTCTCTCCCCAAGGCCTCATGGGTAATAATTATCACCCTGTTCAATTCAACAATCAGGTGCAAGGATCTATGCCAGGGCCCAGACAAAACCAAAGTGGCCCCTGCCTTCTGGGAGCTTACATTCTAAAAAGATAGGATTTAACACATACAGAGAAAAACAAATACAAAGTACTTGTAGAATGATACAAAGTTATTTCAAGAAGGAAAGAGGGCCAATGAGTGGAGGAGGATAAGGAAAGAGTGGAGAGCACAGGAGAATGTTTGAAAGAAGTCAAAGATTCTCTGAGGTGGAGAGAAGGACTGAGTGCCTGCTACATCTGGGGAGCTGATAGTGAAATGCAGAGACAGGATTTTGTGCAGAGAGAACAGAGCTGGCTAGTTCCTGAAGGAGAGTAACATGAAATATATGAAATAAAACAGCATAGGAATGAGGGGGCCAGATTATGGAGGGCTTTAAATGCCAGCCTGAGGATTTTTTTTGTTTTGTTTTGTTTTTGGTGGGTGGGGGAAGAAAGTGGGTGACAATACATTTAACACTTACAAAGTAATTCCCTCACATGCAACAGCTCAGCAAGGCAGGTAGTGCAAGTCAGAACTAACCTCTTAGGTCCTAAAATGAAGATATTAGAGGTCATCGACACTCATTTAAAACCAAGGTCCAGAAAGGCCCATGACTTGCCTCTAGTTAAAGGCAAAGTCAAGCGGGAACAAATGACTTTTGACTCGGATAGTGTAACAGAGACGGAAGTCCCCAAAGATCTGATCAGCTCCCTAATTCCTAAAGAGGAAAACTTTGTATAGGAGGGGAAGACTGTATACAAATCTCCTGGTTTCCCTGGATTAGACCGAGATTAAAGTAGGGCATGCTGCTGGTGAGATCTCGTGTGATAGGTAAGAGAAAGAACCTATCCACTGGGGGCAGATACATAGTCAAGACAGCTGGGTGGAATCACAAATATTTGAGTTCAAATCCTGTTAGGAGCTTATTAGTGTGTGATTCTCAGGAAGACTTTAGCCCTCTCTGCTTCAATTTCCCCGCTATAAAATTGAAGTAATAATGGTACTCGAGCCCCGCCCCCCAAGTGCTGTTGTGAGGGTGAAATGAGGTGGTTCTAGCTGTTATTATAGGGTAAAAGGATGTAGGGAAGGAAGACAGGAATTCAAATGCTAATTCTGTTTCTTCCCAGCTGTATAACCTTGGGCAATTCACTGTCCCTCTGTGGGCCTCGATTAAACAGCCAAGATCCCTTCCGATTCTAAAATCATGTAATTCTTAAATTACAATGCACTTAGCACATCGCCTTTCAAGAAGTCAAATTCCAAGTACCCAGCAAGGACGGGGACTACAACTCCCAATGTGCCCTGCGGAGGCAGGTCTCAGAATCCAGTGACTACAAGGCCTGGGAGTACTACGACTCCCAGGCTGCATGGGGGCGGGGCGGGACGGAGGGGGCCGGGGGGTCGGGTGCTGCCCTCTGCCGGGCGCGGCGGGAAGTGGGCAAGAAGGTGACAGCCGGAGCCCGGGCGCCGGGGTTCGGGGTGACAGCGGCAGCGGCGGCGGAGGAAAGGAAGAGCGGGCGGTTGCAGAGGACTCGGAGGAGGCGCGGCTGCGGGGCACCCGGCGGCGGAACAGGAGGAGGAGCCGCCGCCGTAGCGGGAGCAGCGGCAGTAGCAGCAGCGGCGGCGGGGCAGCAGCAGCGGCGGCGGTAGCGCGACCAGTGGACGGGACGAGCTGCCTGGGCAGCAGCGTCGAGCCCAGAGGAGGCCCCGGCGGGGCGGGGCGGGGCGCGCGCCAGCTCCCGGCCCGGGCACCTGAACTTGAACAAGTTGCCGGAGCCGCTCGGGCCGATTGACCTTCAGGTCGAGGTGAGCTGGGCCGGAGGAGCGGGGGGCGCTGGGACCTCGGACTCTGGACCGGGGGGTCCGCGGAAGCGGGACCCCGATTCCTGGCTCCCGCATAGGACAGGAGAGTGTCCTGACTCCCTTGGGTACCGGAGACAGGTGGCTGGAGCGGGGGCAGCGGGTTGGACTGGGCGAGAGCTAGAAGGAGGAGATGGGGAATCCCCCTGCCAGGTCCGGACCAGGAGGCGTCCCCTCTGTCCCCGCAGGGCCGGCGCTGTCCCGCAGGCCGGGGGGGGGGGCGCTCCGGCCTCTCCCCCGGGGCTCGGGCGGGGGGGGGGGGGGGGGGGGGGGCAGCCGCGCCGGGACCTTATGTAACCAGGCGGGAGGGGCCCGGGCTGGGGCCTCCCCCGGCCCGGGGAGCTGCGGAGTGTAAGTGGGCGAGGCGTGGGAGTGAACTTGGGAGTTAGTGGGACTAGACGGGAAAAGACCGGGGCCCAGCTCTCTTCCTCTCCCTCCCCCACGCCGCCCCCCACCCCCGCCCCCGACCCGGCCAGGGCTGCCGGGGCGGGCGGGGCGCGGAAGGGGGGCCAGGGGAGGTGTGCGGGGGCTGTGTCCGGCCCGGGCCAGGCTGCGCCTGATGGCCGGAGAGTGGGCGGGTCCAGAGCAGCGTCCCGCCCACACGGGGGGCCAGGCTCGCAAGGGAGGGACCACCCCGTTCCCCTTGCATCTTCCCCCCACCTCCCCCTACTCCGAGCTGGGAGAAGTTGCTCCCACTGGCTGTACCCTCTCCCCAGAGAGTAGCTTTCTGATCTTCTCCCTCTTTCCTAATGCGCGCTCGCCTAGCTGTCTAGCTCTGCCTTGTCTCCAAAGAGTGCCAACACCGGCACTCTGGAGAATGCTCCCGCGGTCCTCTCCCTCGGAGGGCTCCCTTCCTCTGCTAAGCCCCAAATAACTTGTAGCCCGCCCGTCTGCCCGCCCAGCGCCCCCGCTTCCCGGTGCTTTGGATGCTCCGCCCCTAAATCAGTGCGCCCCTACTCCTTTGCCAAGGCCGCAGACTCCGGATCCCTGTCTTTCCCAGGGCCCGGGATTCGCCCACTTTCCTGCCCCTGCCTCTCGGGCCGATGACAGGGGCTCTGGCCGGCCCGGGTCCTGTCCGCCCCACCCCTTCTCTCCTTCCCTGACCCAGGCTTTCCATAGCTTTCCGCTCCGCCGCCCTGGGGCCGCTTGGGGCTGCGTGAGCAGGTTCCCGCTGCTGTCGCCCGGCCCGCCCTGGCCTCTGAGCACCTTTCCCGGGGGCGGGGCACAAGCTGTAAAGAGCTTCAGACCCCAGCCTCAGTCCCGGGACCTGGCCCTACCCGATCTCTTTGGTTCTTGCCTCGGCCCCAGGACCCTACTCCTTCCCCAGATCCCTAGGTTCCTCAGTCCTCTTATTTCCCTTCCCCCCTCCCCTTTCCACTCTTTACAATTCACACTTTCTTGCGACACCTAACCACTTCTTGGTCTCTGGATTACCCACTCTTTCCCCTGCCCTCAGCGGTATCTCTGGGTTCCAAATCACTCCCCCTCTCTCTTTTGTCTTTAGGGTGTCTGAATTAATACTTGTTTCTGCCACTTTCTGGATAAAGTCCTGACCCTCTTCAACACTTTCCTGGGGTCGGAGACTGAACAGAGAGGTTTCAACCTACCCTTCCTTTCCCTTTAACCATTGAGGGCTTGGAGGACAGTCTCTCTGTCTCCAGCAAGAGCTTAGGTCTAGAAGTGAATGGAGAAAAGAGAGAGACAGAGACTAAAAGAACAACCTGTTTCAGGGTGCTTGCTGTCTCTGTGACCAGGTTTGACTGTAGGTTACTTCTCCCTTAGTCTCTAACCTCAGAGTGATAGATACCCTGTTTGCAGCTTCTGAGGCTGCTGTCGTGGGGCAAAGATCCCAGAATGGCTGGGGCATGGGGTGGAGATGCAAAGTTTGGAAGACACTTTAGTACCTTTCATTTTGTAGTTGAAGATATTAGAGCAAGGCCTAGAGTGGGGAAATTCCTTGGCCAAGCTCATGTAGACAGTTAGGGGGCAGAGCCTGGACTAGAACCCAGGTCTCCCAGGTCTCTCTCCTCCTCCAGGCCTAAGGCACTTCCTCTTCTAGGCTATTTTCCACCAGAACCTGATTCTGTCTGAAACTAGCCTGATACCTGCTATCACCAGCTACTTTGCAAGTGTTTTGCACAAAGTAAGGCTTCATAGATGCTTTTTCATTCATTCTTTCACTATATTCAAGAAGGCAGGAGGAACAATCTAATAACTTGGTGTTGGAATTCCCTGGTCTATACTTTCTGAGGTTGTGGGTTAATCTACCATAATCTTTTATGCCCTAGTTTCCCCATCCGTAGCACAGAAGGATGGCAGCCTAGAGTACATCAGGCTACCTGGGAATCTTATAACCAGAAAAAAGTTACTGGCTCCATTCCTGAAGGACCAAACATTTGGTCAATGCCAGATGCTCTTTTGATTGGGGGGTGGGGGGACAATTGGAGGGGGAGGAGACAGGGAGGGAGAGCAAGAAACCCTTGTGGTACTGGTGTTCTCAGATCTTCCTTTCCTCAGTAGTGAGGTACCTGGGATCCTGGTATGGTAGAGGATTAGAGGAAGAGACAGGTCCAAACCCCTGAACTGAACTCTGTACACAGTAGGCACTCAATAAAGGTTTGGTTGTTCTATGTCTCATCCCCTTACTAAACTAAGTTCATGAGGGTTGGATCATGTCTTACATGAATTTTCCCTCCAGCTTTCCCCTCTTCTGTGCCTAGCACAGTGTTCTGTAAACAGTAGGTACTTAATAAATGTTTACTGAATGAATGGTTAGATGAATGAATTCTGGAAGAAAAGTTGCTTATCTAGTGCAGTGATTCCTGTGACAGTAGGGTGGGCAGGGAGGAGATGGGGCAGGTAACGATGAATTCAAGCTTCCAAGTGCCGTGTGAAGTGAGGGGCCCAGTGTCTGCTCCCAGACTCCCCACCCCTCCTCCATGTAGCCCATTTCCTAGTGGGAAGAAAGAAGGCAGGAGGAAGCCCCAGGGCTGGAGTAAGTTCTACTTTCTCAAGACTTGGTGACTTCTTGAGTGTCTGGCTTCTAGCTGTCCCTATTTCCAGTCCTGTTTCTCACTGTAATTGTATGTTTTATCACTTCTCAGCACCCGTGTATATATATACCCAACAGTGCCTGAAACTCTGCCAGTCTCCCCCTTCCCCCTTTCCCCAGCTTCTGGTCTTGCAGTGACTCCTGTTCCTTCCTTTTCAGAGTAGCAGGCAGTTTGTGGCTCCAGCAGGGGCTACCCAGAATGTGCTGGCTCTAAAAACCAGTCTGGCTCCCTGCCCCCTTGGGAAAGAGGGTGGCTGTGCTGGTGATGAACTGCATAGGCTTCAATTGAATTCAGATGTTTATTATTAGGCATCTGCTGTGTTAAGCTCTAAGGGGTATGTGTGGAGAATAAAAAAAATTAGATCAGACTTGTCCTCATGGAACTGGTAGTCTAGTGGGGGAAAAGTACAAATATAGAAAATTACAATGCAGAATGATATAGGATAAGTGATCATCATAGATTTAGAGCTGGAAGGGACCTTATTTTACAGTTGGGGAAACTGAGACAGGAAGTGGCAAAACAAAGTGTTCTATGAGTTCTGAAGAGGGCTGAAAGATCCCTACCATTATGGGGTGACTATGGAAGGCTTCATTGTAAGCAGCATCATCATCATTATAGCTAACATTTGTATAGTGCTCCTACATGCCAGGTAATATGGAAGCACTTAAAAAATTATTATCTCATTTGATCCTCACAATAACCCTGGGAGGTTGGTGCTATTGATATCCTCATTTTACAGGTGGGGAAACTGAGACACAAAGGGGTTAAGTGAGTTGCCCAGAGTCACACAGCTACTAAGTATCTGAAACTGGATTTGAACTCAGGTCTTCTGGATTTCAAGCTAGGTGCTCTCTAGGCAATTCATGGTGGAGATGATGTTAAAGTTGGGGCTGGGGCTCTGGCTGCCTTATGAATATCCTTGGAATTTTGCTATCCTCTGAGACTGTTTAGAGCCCTTGGGCATGGGCTGGGCCACCTGGACATGAGAGCACATTCCCAGGAAAGGATCAATGTGTCATAGGTCCAGAATTCTTGTGCTGGAAGGAAACTTAGAATCCACCTAGTCCAACTGTCTCATTTTACAGATGAGGAAACTGAGGCAGAGAGATGAGATGATTTGCTCTGGGTCATGAAAGAGGACTTAAGAGATCATTTAATCCTCATCTCCCAATCACCCCATGAAATAAGTAGCATAAATAACACTAACCTCTTTTCCAGATAGGGAAACTGAGGCCCAAAGAGGTTCTGTAACTATCCCAAGCTCTCTTCTATGAAGGCCAGTTTTAGTTGGTACCAGTGCTGTATCCATTGTGCCACCTAGCTGCCCAAGAGATCTTTCTTTTTCAGTGAGCTGTCTCCTTCTCCGGACAATTTCTTTCCTTGCCCTAGGATAGATTTTTGTTGTTGTTTAGTCAATTAGTCATGGTCCACTCTTCATGACCCTTTTTTGTTTTTGTTGTTGTTGCTGTTGTTTTTTGACAATTGGGGTTAAGTGACTTGCCCCGGGTCACACAGGTAGTAAGTGTCAAGTGTCTGGTCTGAGAATGGATTTGAACTCAGGTCCTCCTGACTCTAGGGCTGGTGCTCTATCCACTGTGCCACCTAGCTGCCCCCTTTTGGGGTTTTCTTGGCAAAGATGTTGGAGTGGTTTGCCATGTCCTTCTCCAGTTCATTTAACAGAAGAGGAAACTGAGGCAAACAGTTAAGGGACTTGACCAGGGTCACACAGCTAGTATGTGTCTGAAGTCAAATTTGAACTCAACTCCTTCTCAGTCGAAGTGCACCCCCCCACCCCCAATCTATTCACTCTGCCACCTAGCTGCCCTCGAGGGCAGATTTATGCAAGTTTGAAGGTTTTAGGGTTAGGAGCTGCTGCTTCCAGACTCACTCAAAGCACGTTCCTGTAGACCTAAGACCGGAAAGTCTATGATGAACTTGATAGCTGTGTCAGGAGGGGCAAGTAGGGAGGATTTTGCTTCTTGTCTTATTGCAAAGGAAGCTATATAAGGCAGATTGTAGCTAACAATGGCCGGACCTGTCATGTGGGAGAATCATTGGTCCGAGAGAGGGGCAGGAGCAAAAATCTTAAAACTCCTCAACTTCAGAGTTGTGAGAGACTTTAGCAGACACATAGTTTAGCTCCCTCATTTTCCACATGGGAAACACTCCTCCAGCCCTCAAAGGGTCACACAGGGATTTAGTGGCAAAGCCAGGACTAGAATGCAGGTCTATTATAAGATTTAGAACCAGAAGGAACCAACCCTCCTCATTTGACAAGTGAGAAAACTGAGACCCACGATGGGGAAATCACTTGGTGGTTTTAATGAACAGCTTTTATTTTTATTTTAAAAATTATTTGATACAAAGGATAAGGAGGGGAGGAGGGAAAGTTTTATATTCAGAAATGAAAAAACAATTTTTTCTTTTTTAAAAATTTTTTTTTCCAATCACATGTAAAGATAGTTTTCAACTATTTTGAGTTCCAAATTTTTTCTCTCTCTCCCCTCCCCACTCCCCAAGATGGCAAGCAATCTGATATAGGCCATACATGTACCATCATATTAAATGTATCAATGAAAGTAATTTTTTAAGAATTTTTTTTCTTTTTTTTGGGCTAGGCAATGGAGTTAAGTGACTTGGCCAGGGTCACACAGCTAGTTAATAAATATCTGAGGCCAGATTTGAACTCAGGTCCTCCTGACTCCAGGGCTGGTGCTCTATCCTTTGCAACATCTAGCTGCCTCTAGTTCTTTTCTCTTCTAAGCAGACTGTGAACTCCCATAGGTAGGGAATGCCTTTCAGGTTGTCTTATATCCCTCATCACATTCAGCGCCATACTGGGCACAAACTGGTTGATCCATCTTCCTGTTCAACTGTGGCCGAGTCAGGCCTGGAGGGTCTACCGGTCACAGAGCTGGAAAGGAAGGTAGCAGGGTCATGGAGAGATGACAGAATATGCAGTATTTCCCATTCCTAGTCTTCCTTCTCTCCTCATTTAGGTTCCTTCAGGACAGGGCATGTTCAGGTCCCCTGTTATCCGTCTGCCTCCTTTAGGCCAACCCAGGCTTCTCCCCTTGTCGGTGAAATAGGCCAATCTTCTGAGTTGGGAAGTAACTGTGGGTGAAGAAGATGACTGTCAGTGATAGGGCAAAAACTGAAGATTTATCTTAACCACA